CTCTACTTTACGATAAAATTCTAAACCAACATCATGTTTATAATTCCGAGATCAATTAGAAAAATACATGGGTACCTAAAAAAAAATAAAAAAAAATACAAAAAATAATAAAAAAATGGACAAAAATAATTAAAACGGGTTGCCTCCCAATAGAGTGCTTTTGTTTAACATTGTTAGCTCGATGTTAAACAAAATAATAAAGATGTTGAAAAAGTTGTATTAGAAAATGCTCCAAAAAACGCTTCTTACAATTCGCCTGAGATACAAAAGGAGATTTTACATATTCTGGCAGAGAAAATTAAGAGAGCAATTCGTGAAGAAATTTTTTTGTGTTATAATTGATGAAGTAGGGGATGTATCAAGAAAACAAAAAATGTATATTATTTACGGTATGTTGATAATTTCGGTCTAGTAAAGGAACTTTTTTTTAGCATTATTCATGTTCCTAATACTTCAGCAGTAACTTTAAAAGATGAGGTATTTTCCATTCTTTCTCGTTATTTCTTTGACATAAAGAATATTCGAGGCCAAGGTTATGATGATGCAAGTAACATGCAAGGAAAGTGGAATGAGTTACAAGCATTAGTTAGCAATGAGTGTCATTTTGCTTACTATGTGCATTGTTTTGTCCTATCGTTTACAATTGGCACTAGAAGCTGCAGCGAAAGAGGTCATACTTGTTTATCAATTTTTTCCCAAGTTATCATTTATTATCAATGTTGTTCTAGCCTCATATAAGCACATTGATGAACTAAAAAATGATTATTCTGACGAGATAAATCATTCGATTGAAGAAGAACAACTTGAAGCTGGAACTGGTTTGAATCAAACAAGTAATTTGTAGAGGGCAAGTGATACTCGATGAGGTTCTTACTTGAGATCAATTTCAAGCTTGATAAAAATGTTAGTGTCACTTATGTTGTTCTATATAAACTCATTGATGAAGGAAGTACATCTTCTGAACATGGATAAGCGGCGACAACTTTATAGACTTCGACTTTCTTTGATTTTGTCTTCATTTTACATCTTATGAAGAAAATATTAGAAATCACTGATTCACTTTCTCAATCATTACAACCAAAATCTAAGGATATTTTGAAGTCACTACATCTTGTTGAGAGTTCAAAGATACTTTTTTAGAAATTTAGAGATGATGGATTGAATAATCTTTTTATGGAGGTTACCTCATTTTGTGAAAGTCGCAACATAGATATCCCATATATTAGTTCTATTTATAGAGAAAGAGGAGGCTGCGCTCGTCGCCAACAAGATCATTTTACAGTTGAACATCATTATCGAGTAGAAAATTTTTATGCTACAGTTGATGTTCAAACTACAAGAGTTAAATAGTAGTTTTAATGAGAAGTCAATAGAGTTATTAACTCTTGGTTGTGCTTTGGAGCCAAGAGACGGTTACAAAAATTTTCAAGGTTGAAGACGTTTGCAATCTTGTGAATAAATTTTATTCGGAAGATTTCATAGAAGTTGAAAAGAATGATTTACGAACAGAATTGAGTCATTATGAGGGGGAGTTATCTTGGAATTCAAGTCTAAGAAAATTGTTGACAACCTCTGACCTAAGTCAGTGGTTGGTGGATACTAGGAAAGTGAACACTTATCCATAAATATTTCGAACGGTAAAACTTCTATTAACTCTCACAGTTTCTACAACAAGTGTTGAAAAAACTTTTTCTACAATGAATACCCTCAAGATAACACTTCACAACAAAATGGAGGATGAATTTTTTTAGAGTTGCATGCTTATCAACATTGAAAGAGATATTGCAATGAGCTTTAGTACAACATCGCTCGTGGATGCATTTCGAGATTTGAAGGAACGACACGCTTTATTGTGATTATGTGATAGTTATGTCTTTTGCACTTTTTAAAAATCATAATTTTTATTATTTACTTTACTTTAATTTTTAATTTTTTAATTTGTTATTTCATATAAATATAGAACTATGTATATTTGATGTTATCATTTATATTTTTTGAAATAAATAAATAATAAAGGTAAAATTATATATGTAACTTAAAGTTGTTAAAGAGATTCGGCCTCTATTGAGATCTAGTTCTACCTTAATCCGTGCTAGTAGTCGATACCATGGCTAAAGCTGCGCAGTCGCTTCCTGTTGGAGTTCACTTGTTTGCCAATCCGTCCGCTGCTGTAGTTCAGCTGGTGAATGAAGACATGCACCCTGTTTGTGCAAACCAGCTCGTACTTTGCAATAAAAAAAGAACACTTTTCAAAAAACACTGTTGATGGGGAATACTTTTATTAAAAAAATTAAAAATTAAATGAAAATAAGTGTTATTTTAATAAAAAAATATTTATTTAATATATTTAAGTGAAAAGGATTAAACAATCAGATTTATTATCTAAAGCTATTAAAATATAATAAAATCTTTTATTTTTATTTTTATTTGCACACTAACATTAACATTTGTTATGATTGAATTTATGATTAAAAACTAGTTCAAACTATAGAACAACAAAATTTATATATTGATTTTCCTGGCTGAACATTGCATCGGTTAACATATATATTTGTTGGGTGAAATTGGGAAAAGAGTAAAATTTGGAGCAAGGAGAAACAAGAGTAAGAATTGGGGTGGTTTACGGCTATCCCAAGTATCTGCTGAGTCATTTCCACGTGTTTATAAAAATATCTCGATTTTTTCTATATGTCGTTTGGTCATTTTTTACGTTTGATTTTCTTAGGGTCGTATTTGATATTGTATCGGTTGATCAAGATGATATCATATTGTTGATATTTTCTGTTGTGGACCATCAAATTAAATTTGAATGTGTGGTTTGCGTTCGGATACTATTGTCTCACAACGCTAGACTTTGATTTGCATTTGTCAATAGTATTTCAATACTTTCTTCTCACGTTGTGGTCAATAGCGGATCCATAAATTTATAAATGGGAGTCCAAAATTTTAATTTTTTTTCTTTAAAATAATGGGGGTGTAAATTTTTTCCCCTTTTTTCTTTAACATATTATACTAAATTTCACTTTTTTTACAAAATAATGGGGATGCACTTGACCCTTAGGGAGCTTAGTGTATCCTCCCCTAGTTATGGTTCGTTTATCAATGCAATCAGATATGTACATATCAATCTTTTGTTAGAATTTTTTGAATGAATTTTTAACCTTTTCATTGTACGGTCCTTGTGTAAAGCCTATTTCTTGTATAATGGTTGTAAGAAAATATCCTAATTATATGTTTAACTTACGCTCATTTCATTGTAATCTTGTATATTTCCTTTTTAATAAAACTAACGGCTTCTATTTCCATACAAATACAGTTTAAAAAAGTTCCCATATAAAGAACTGAAAATTTTATTTTCTCAACTAAGGTTAGTATTATAGTATATCATGAAAAATATTGAATTATCTGATGATTTTTTTTTTAAAGACATTGACATTATATGATGTATGTGGAAAGATATAGTTTGAACTGCAGTATCAAGATGGAACTATATAGAAAGTGGGAGGGGATTCCAAAATTTTTGGTTTAATAACATTTTAGGTCCTTTTCATGTTAAATTTAAGTAAAATTAGACTTTTGTGTCCTCCAATTTTTAGATTAAATATATAATAAGTCCTTATTCTTTTGGTTTTGACAGATCGAAACTTGGAAGGATAAATAACCCCTCTATGGATAGATAAACAATGGTAAAACTTCAAAAGAGTGCTATAAAATGGGGATGTATTGATCAACTAATTATGCTATATTTATAACATCTTTCTTATTTTCAAGGCAGGGTAAATTGTAAGAGCCTTTTCGAAACCTAAGAAAGAAGCCATGGAAGTGAAAAGAAATTGAAAAAGAAAGGAAGACTAAGGTCTGCAATTTCAAGGTCAACATCCCATGTGACACCAACTTTCTGATACATATATTGTACCTCCTTACACGCAAAAGCTAAATACATTTTTTGATCCCAACGTTTTTTTTATCCAATATGGTATATCTTATATTCATGATTCATTTCAATGCATAACTAAAACCACTCTTTTTTAATATAACTAGCAAAAATATTAATAGTTTAAATTGTCAAATATATGAATGTGATTTTGAATACAATACAAACATACTATATAAGAAAACGTATATTTATAAACATGAGAGACGATATACGTGCATGTTCAGCAGTTTCTGCTGTTTTTATTTTTGACATAACAAAAACATACCAAGTAAACGTCCAAAACAAAAAGGCTGAAATGAGTGGACAGTTTCTTGTCCTCCATGTTTATCCAGCCGAAAGCTAGGCTAACAGTTACGTAGAGCTTTCATTATCAGTAGGCTGCATGGATCATGCACCCGACAAAAGCTAATGCTACCTCCTAACTTACCAAACACATAAAGTTACGTGACCATAAATTCATAGAACCATTTTTGCTTAATAGGTGGAAAGCCAAAGAAGATCTATGTTTCAAACCTCATTTTCAATAACAATGGATCACCAAAATCTTCCAAAGAAGATAAAGGTTTGGATAGTACATGGGTGAATGCATGATTTTATGTTAAGAGCGAATTTATAAAATTTTAAAAAGATGAAAATAAATTATCAATAAAAACTACAAAAAAATCTAAAATATATAAGAATTTGAAATTTTCAGCGACTATATCCCCTCCGTCTCCCTTCATTCCATTCCTATTTGACAAAGCATGTGATCTGACGAACTTAATCACACCACACCAAAGAAGTCAAGGTAAATTTCCAAGTTGTCCAAACAGGATTCAACACACCTCAGGGAAATTGAAAAAATCCACCTCTAAGGTCAGTGGGATGATAGATGCGGGGACAGATGTATATAGAGAGTGAGAAGGAAGGACTTTTGCCTACTCAAAATTTCTGATCTAATACTACTTTATGTCCTTATCAATTTAAACTTCATTTTTTTTAACTTAGGCAGTATTTTATTTCTCCTAATATTTGATTATAGTTCCATGTTTGGAGAACATATTGCAATACCATCATAAATTTGGTCATATTTTTCACATCAAACCTTTAGCCCCCTTTCACCCCCAATCATCTCTATAAATCTGCCAGCTCTGCTTCACTGGTTCCCCCAACCTCCTCTTATTTTCCTTAACATCTTGTGCCTTGGAGATTGGAAAGATTTCCAAAAGAAATATTAAACTAAGAGGTTCTTTGTAGGCTAAGTGGCACTACATGTGCTGTGGAATCGCATCATTTGCTTTTATAAGCTATTAACCCCACCGTCCATCTCACTCTCTTCTATATAAAAACTAATCTACTACTACTGATTAACTTCGTTTAAGTTAATTCACAGAGGAAATGGGTGAGGAAACCAAGCAGGTGAGAGGCAGGCTTTGTTCATGAAAGGAAAAAAAAACAATTTGCATGCCATAATCTGTACGTGTGATTCAATGTTTTTGCAGGAGCAACCGCCGGCAGAGGCTCAACCAGAAGAAGAGAAAGCAGATGAGAAGCCGGAGGAAGATAAGAAAGTGGAACCACCAGCACCACCACAGCCGCCTCCGCCTCCGCTTCCTTGTATCTTGTTTTTGGACTTGCATTGTGTGGGTTGTGCAAAGAAGATTGAGAAATGCATCATGAAGATTAGGGGTATTTATATTTTAATCCATATCGATTACTATCTATTTTGCAAAAAATAAAAATATACTCAAATGGTTAGCAGGTGTGGAAGGAGTCGTAATCGATATGGCTCAAAACCAAGTGTCAATAAAGGGAATTATGGAACCCCAAGCAGTGTGCGCTAAAATCGTGAAGAAAACCAAGAGAAGAGCTAAAGTGCTGTCCCCTTTGCCTACAGCTGAGGGTGAACCTATGCCAGAAGTTGTGCCTTCACAGGTTAGTGGAATTAATTTCACCTCACTAAAACAACAGAAACACTAACACTTCATATGTACAAGTATTCTTTTAACGGCAGGGATCAACTGAGGGGTGGCCGGGGCAATCGTAAGCTCGAAAATTTCTTATTATAAGTTCATCCCCTGATATAAAATATTGCACCCATCTCTTATTATTGATACTAATTGGGTTAATATTCCAGGTTAGTGGGTTAGAAACCGTGGAGGTTAATGTAGACATGCATTGTCAAGCCTGTGCTGAGCAGCTGAAGAGAAAGATATTAAAAATGAGAGGTATAATATAATGAGAAATCTTAGTTCGGTTAAGTTCCATACAAATTTAAGAGCAGTACCCTTTTTGCAACTTAGCCAGCAAAAAGCTATTTGTGAGCGTTATTGATCAACTGCATGGCAGTGGGGCCTTAGCAAGGTGACAAGCAATTATAATTTATATTGCTTTTGGATCTTTGTTATTACTTAAAATTTACTTAGGGATGATTGATGCATATAGTATATACATGTTAGGTAGTTATCTCGTAAAAATATTAAATTAGTATATATTTTAGATATTTTATCAGTATTTTCAATTGATAACATATTTTGACCCTTAATGTAATACCTCAAAAAAAAATTAGATAATGACCAAAATGCAAATTTTGAAAGTTTGATGGTCAAAGTAGAAATTTGGGGAAAAAGTTTAGGGAATTAAGTGATAATTTCCTAAAAAGAATTTTATTCCATAAATAGATGGTTTACTCTTGATAGTGGAGTTTTATAGAAATTATATTTTTGGATTTGAAATTTTAGTAAAGAAAAGTTAGAAAGGGTTAAAGCCGATAATGAATCGATATTTCAGATCGAATTGGAATTTTACAAAAATTTGAAGAATGTTATAAAATGGTTGGAAATATTATTTTAATATTTTGGATCAGAGAAATTTGGTTTGGAATTGTGCAATTTTTTAGATTTAACCGAAATAGTGGAATTTAGTGACTAAAATGCAAAATTAAAAATTTAAGGTGAATTTCGGAAATAAAAGTAAAAATAATTCATGTTTGACTTTATAATATGATAAGGATCAGATGGTTTGGTTTTATGATGATTATGGAGATTCATTAAGGGCAAAACTGGAATTTCCTATGGTGTTGAATAAAAAAATTTCCATTATGATATTATATTAAGCATGTGCTAGATCTAATTATCATTAAAAATATCAAATATGATGAAGCATCTTCAGCTTCTTCTTCATCCAAGACCGACACCTCCAAGCTTGCAAGTAGGTATTCTTGTTTTGAATTTTGAACCAATCTTGTTGAGAATTAGACTTGGGTGCGATTAGGAAAAACGTTCTACGTTCAATTATCTACATTTTGACATGAATATTACTAGGGTTTCATGTTCAAGTTCATATTGAGTTGATGAAGGGGATTTTGATTCTTGTTTTTATGGGTTTTGATGAGTTAAGTGATTTTAAAGAAGAGAAAATAACCTCAGTGACAAAAAATACCTTATAATATACAATTTTAACCAACTTTTTTTGGATTTGCCAAAATGACCAACTAAATCGCAATGCGGTCGATAATTCGCAACGCGATCTTCGATATTGCAAATCAATTTCTAGATTCGCAACGCGATTCTGACTATCGCATTACGATTTTACAAATTCGCGTTGCGATTTTCCGACTATCGCAATGCGAATATGTAAATAGCAATGCGATTATGACTATCGCAACGCGATTTTGACTATCGCAACGAGATTCTGACTATCGCAACGCGATTCTGACTGTCGCAACGCGATGCTGACTATCGCAATGCGATTTTCAAAGCGCCATTATTATCGCAACGCGTATTTTTTTTTCAAATTCCAAACACGAATATTAATATATCGAAACACTGAACCGTCCACAATATATCCCGTAATCGCAACTCATAACCTAAAACCCTAAATCACAACTCAGTCCCATCTCCATCTCTCACTCTCTAAGGCGACATCTGTCCCCATCTCCGATGAAATCAGTCCCCATCTCCGGCGAAATACGTCTATCTCCATCTCTCAGAGCTACCCTCACATTCACGGTCAGAAATGGAAAATCAACCAAATCAACCACCGAGGGTTAGTTTTTTTAATTATTTTTAATTTGAAATTTTTGCATTATTATTAGGTTTTTCATATTGAAATTGATGATAAGTTTACTGGTAATTTCAATAATAGATTAACCATTTCATTTAGATTGCTTATTAAATTCATTCGATTGCTGCCAATACTGCTAAACTGTTTAGTCTTTAAACCCTGTGAATTTAGTATTTGTTTTTGTTTTGTCTTTTGGTTGAAGTAATGCAATCCATTCAAGTTTCAATTTTAGTATTTAAAACCGAGAATGAAAATCGCAACGACAGAATCGCAATGCGATTTTAGTTTCGCGTTGCGATTTTCATTTCGCGTTGCGATAGTCAAATTCGCGTTGCGATAGTCATTTTCGTGTTGCGGTTTTCATTTTCGTGTTGCGATTTTAAGTTTCAGAAACTATTCTTCTTCTGCAAATTGAAACTTGAATGAATTGCATTACTTCAACAAAAAAAAACAAAGACAAATACTAAATTCACAGTGTTGCAAATTTAAGTTTGAAGAATAAACTACTACTCTTTATGTTTATTGTTCTTGGTATATCTTCACAGTGTAGTTTTTGGTATATCTCACTTGGTATGTTTATTGTTTTTGTAGAACTTTTATTCGACTCAATTGACCTTAAGAAATAAATTAAGCCTGTCCAAAACAATTGCGTCGAAGCTTTCACCTGCACAAAGAAAAATATTTGAGGATACTTGCTTCGGGCTATGGCTGAAAGTACAACATCCGGGTGGAGATGCTATGTTGACCCATATGTTTCTTCAAACCATGACTAACGATCTACCAGAGACTATACAAAGTCGTGATGAAGAGATATGGTTTGATTTTCCACCGGCGTATACGTGTTTTGGGCGGGAGGAGTTTTGCTTAATCACCGGTCTACGCTTCGGACACGATGATGTAGGTCGGTATACTAGACATATTACCCACCTATCATGGTTATCCCGGGTTTTTCCTGAGCTATCAATGGAGAAGCCGAATTTACACGTGGAAGACTTGACGAGATTATTGAATAAAAAAGATGGTTTTACTCGGATGGATGACGTCGATGTTGTCCGAGTATGCCTTCTAATACTTTTGCATGCTGGTTTTTTAGGCAGAGAGGCCAGACAACCTATTCCTAATGATCTAATTAAATTGGTAGAGGACCTAAATGCATGGAACCTGTTTCCGTGGGGTTCGTATCTATGGAAGCTACATGGAATAAGTTGTCGTCTGCCTTTGATGATCGAAAAATTTTGAGTGGCGATGGTTCCAAATACACTTTGTCAGGCTTTATTTGGGCCTTTAAGGTAATAATTTTTATATAATGTTTCTAAAATTATAATTAATTATTATTTAACAATTACTAATGTTTGTTATTATATTGTTTGTAGATTTGGATATTTGAGGCCTTTCCCGCCATGCAGACATATGCATTAAAAACTTCTAATGATATTCCTAGGGCTATTTCCTGGAAGAGGAAATGGACCTTGCAACAATGGGAAGATTTACTACCGTATACGACAATAAATAATGTAAGTTAACACAAATACTACCATATGTTTATAAACAAGTTATTACTAGTACACATTTAACTTTGTTTGAGCTTTTATATTGTTAGGAGTCCAACACTCCATTACAGAGGCTGACACCCACGGAAGCTGAGCTTGCCACTGATTGGTGGCAAGCTAGTAAGCGTTTTTTTGATGGCACGGATGATGAGCAGCCTCCACTTCGAGAGCCATCACCTCACCCAGAGCCATCACCTGATCGACCCGACTATACACCTCCACAACGAGAGCCATCACCTATTCTGTCACATCATCGAGCCTCTTCTCCACCATCACCTCATGATAGGCGACCAGCAAAGATGCCACGACGTTTATCTCCCTGTTTTCCACCTCTACCTCCACGGGATGAGTTAGGGGAGTTACATGATGAGGTCAATGCCTTGCGTGAGGAGGTCGGTACTTTACGCGATGACAATGGTGCATGGCGTGTTGAGGTGTCTACTTTACGTGGTGAGGTAGCTACTCTACGTGAGATGGTAGCATCGTTGCAGAATGAGGTTCATACTCTACGCAACGAGGTAAGTTTAATATTTTTCATATTTAACTTGATGATAAATTTACTCGTAATTTTAATTAGATTAACAATTTCACTTAGATTGCTTAGTAAATTCATTTGGTTGCTGCCAATACTGTTAAACTGTTTATTCTTTAACCATGTGAAGGTAGTATTTGTTTTTGGTTGAAGTAATGCAATCCATGCAAGTTTCAATTTCCAGAAGAAGAATAGTTTACTTTCGCAACACGAAAATGACTATTGCAACGCGAAAATGACTATCGCAACGCGAATTTGATTATCGCAACGAAAGAATCGCAATGCGAAATGAAAATCGCATTGCGATTCTCTCGTTACGATAGTCATTTTCGCGTTGCGATTTTAAGTTTCAGATTCTATTCTTCTTCTGCAAATTGAAACTTGAATGAATTGCATTACTTCAACCAAAAGACAAAGACAAATACTAACTTCACAGTGTTGAAAATTTAAGTTTCAAGAATAAACTACTACTCTTTATGTTGTCATTGAACCTGCACTAAACCTATATGTTGTCCTTTTAAATGTTTATATAAGTGATTACTTCTGGAATGTTATCTGATACATTTTGTGAACAATGATAGAATAATGACTTGGGTGAATACCGTGCAAGTTTGAAATATATTTGTCTTTGTTTTCACTATTTAATATCATGTCTGTTTATTTACTGATTTATGTATTAATTTATTTTTAGCGGCCCGCTAAGGTGGATGCTCTACGTCGGGTTTTTCTTGCAAGACAGAGTTCACGCATCAGACGGTGTGCACGTGCCATTAAGTCTCCGTTCACCCCAATAGTGCGAAGAATCGGTAAGAAAAAGTCCGACTCACCTGTCATCGTTCAAGAGGCCTCCCCTATTGTTCAAGAGGCCCCTATCATCCCTCACGAGTCCCCTCCCACCGTTCAAGAGGCCACTGCCATCGTTGAAGAAGTCCCTCCCAACATTCTAGAGCCCGATTCACACGGCGTAATATATCGAATTATTGAGAAACCACCTCACGTGCCGGACATGATGGATGACTGTTGGCTTTCGTATAAGTTACCGGCCAATACCATTCCGGAAGATGAAGTGGAGAGGAAACAACTACCGGAAACAATTCTGGATAATACCCTTTGGGCTAAGATCGTAGTTGATTTTTATCTACATGAGCGGAGCCAAGGGCGTTACGCTGACATATACAAACTCAATGATGATATGCATTTGTTGATTGAACGGTCTTGGTGGGGTGTGTTATTAGGGGTTGAAGACAATGGCTATTTCGATGGGGGGTAAGTCTTATATTTCTTCTTATATTT